TCGTTAATTAACAATTGGTTCATGCTTTAGCGTGCACTATCGAGTTATGGAGCACGCGGGAAGTTTGGAGAGCACGAAAGAAGCGTAAGAGTTGCCCGAGGCGATAGCCGAGGGCAACTCTAGCTTCTTGAGTGCTCTCCAAACTTCCCACGTGCTCCATAACTCGATAGTGCACAGCTGAAAGCATGAACCAATTGTTTTAGAACATAGCCGGTGGAATTGTGCATCAAATGCGACGCGAAAAACGGACAACAATATCAGTTGAAGCGAATCGTGACGGCGCTGATGCCGAGTCTCCTTTTCCTTTGTTTTTCTCTTTTTCTGCCTCATTTAAGAACTCTAGCCCATGGGAAAAGGTCGAAACATTGTCTTCGTTTTCGGACTAGCAGGCCGAGTTTCTGTTTGTATCCATTATTGTCGCGAAATGTATTATTTTTCCCCGCACTAGCAATGGCCGCTCGCGCGAAAAAAAAAATTTCTGGCGAAGTCGGATTTGATGACGCTATCAGCGTGCACTATCGGGATTTTGAGCACGCTTACGTATAATGAATCTGATTGCGCGACTCTACTAGCTATGTTCTAATAAAATTTATCATTCTGAACCATGCCAGCGGCCGTTTTAAAGGAAAAAAAAGGTTGTAAAAGAAGAGGATAACTATTCAAGGTAGTTACAGGAAAGAGATAGCTCTTATCAGGCGATTTGGACACAAGAACTATGTTTACATGTCGGTTTGACGCGTTCTCATTTCTCACGAAACAGGATTACGAAGAAAGTGCTTATTTAACTTTGCAAAGATCACAAATTATACAGAACATCATATTTAAATGATGTTCTTTGCCTTCATTATAAAGGTACGTAATTCGAGATAAAAGTATGTTACCTATACTTCTTTTCAGGTGTAATTTGTTCTTATTTTTATATCATCAACTTGAAAAAGTGATGTTGTTTCGTCAAACGAAAGCTAGATGCTCGTAATTTTTTTTTGTCGTTTTATTTTTCCCTTGTGGTTAAATTTCCGGCAGCCGGGCACAGCCTTTACTGGACTAATTGCCCAGCAGACAGAATTTCTACTGAAAGTTTTTCTCAAACTTCTTATCCTGATCGAGAGTATCAGATGTTTGTTTACAAGTGTCAAACGACTCCGAAAATAATTTTGGTGGTTATTGGACGAATTGTTCGAGCCTGAACAAGCTGCAAAAGCGTTTTTGGAAAGACTGCTGTGCATGGTCTCAAATACATTTAGTGCCGAATTCAGTCAAAAACAATTTTACTGATTTCCCACAATGAAAGCTTCATTCAAATTTATTCAGATTGTTTGATGCTTTTTCAAAAATTAATGCCAAGCTGTTCTAAAAATTACAATTGTTTTTATTAAATACGATTTCCAAGCTTGTGCTTTACCATAACATGGCTTTTTGTAGGTGGCTGTGTAACACTTCAGCCTGCCAACATTCAAGTAATGTATCAATTAATTATTACCTTTAAGTTTCTGTGCAGTGTGATTTGAGGTTAATAACTATTACAGGGTTTGCAAGGATAGAAAACCTTGAGGAGTACACAGGCTTAAAATGCTTATGGTTGGAATGTAATGGAATTCACAAGATTGAAAACCTGGACAATCAGAAAGAGTTGTGATGCCTGTGAGTTAACTGTTTGATCTTTTTCAGTCAAANNNNCAGCAAATCCGACTTCGCCAGAAATTTTTTTTTCGCGCGAGCGGCCATTGCTAGTGCGGGGAAAAATAATACATTTCGCGACAATAATGGATACAAACAGAAACTCGGCCTGCTAGTCCGAAAACGAAGACAATGTTTCGACCTTTTCCCATGGGCTAGAGTTCTTAAATGAGGCAGAAAAAGAGAAAAACAAAGGAAAAGGAGACTCGGCATCAGCGCCGTCACGATTCGCTTCAACTGATATTGTTGTCCGTTTTTCGCGTCGCATTTGATGCACAATTCCACCGGCTATGTTCTAAAACAATTGGTTCATGCTTTCAGCTGTGCACTATCGAGTTATGGAGCACGTGGGAAGTTTGGAGAGCACTCAAGAAGCTAGAGTTGCCCTCGGCTATCGCCTCGGGCAACTCTTACGCTTCTTTCGTGCTCTCGTAACTTCCCGCGTGCTCCATAACTCGATAGTGCACGCTAAAGCATGAACCAATTGTTAATTAGGATCCCATGAAGTTTAAAAGTGTTTTGTAGTTTTACATTGAGTACAATGATCCATGCATATTCACAGTGAACCTTATAATATGCCAGATTTGTGTATAATTAGCAGCATTTTTAAAATTTACTTTCAATTGATTTAGTTACCTGCAGCAGAATATCATATCAAAGATAGAGAATGTGGAACATCTACAACAGCTGGATACTCTTAATGTCAGCAATAACACCATTTCCAAAATTGAAAACATTGGTAAGTTTGTTCTTGCTCCATTGTTTATTAAAATAAATAAAGTTGACTTCATCCTGTATGTATAGATGTACAATCACTACAGGTACAATTTAGGTTAAATTTTCATCTTTTATGAAATTGTTTGATGACCACACTACTTAATCAATTGCACCTATAAAATCATTATTTTCCTAAAAACTAATGTTCTCTTTAGCTGAAGATTTGCTCCACATTGTTTTGTACAAACTACATCTAGGTTTTTTTTTTTTTTTTTTCACTTTTACCCAATTATTACTTTGAAATAAAATATGAATACAACTGAGGTAACATGAAGATAACCCCTCAGTAAGAGCCCAGCTCCCATTTAAATCATTCTCTCCCAAGACACCATTAGCAAGGGTTTCATTTACAGTGAAGGGCCAGGCACCAGGCAAATTGACCGGTCCTGAGGACAGTTTAGCCCACCTGGTTTTACAATCTGGAGGAAATTTATCCAATAAAGAAGTTTAGTTCAAAAATTCCTCCCCCCCCCCCGCCTTGTGAAAACCAGTTGTCCTCCTGCTGAAAACATAAATGAAACCCCTTTACAGTAATTCTCTTTACTATCTGCCATGCATTGTCAGGTTTTTATTTTTTTATTACTTACTTTAATCCTGATTGTATGGTATCTTCAACAGGTGTCATACCCAAACTTAGCACTTTACAGATATCGCACAACCGTTTATCAACTGCTGATGACTTGAGACATTTGTCAGAATGTTCTAATCTGAGGTAAAGTTTATTGAACCTAATATAAGCCACATGCATAGCTAGCTTACAAAAATAGGATGGAGAGAGTTGATGGGCACTTAGTGCAGTCATTTTAAATTGCAGATCCAAAACTGTGCTTTGAATCTGTGTAAACCTATGATTCCCCTCATCTTCTTCTATGCCACACAGGCTACAATCCTTGTCATAATTATTGAGAGAAACATTACCTCCTTCTCTTCTTGTCATCCTTCCCCTCTTGTCATCCTTCCTCTGTTTTCAATATTGGTAAAAGGAATGTTCAACCACCTGAAAAGAACTCGACACTGAGAGTGAAGGTAGGTGTTTCAACAGAATGGGATGAGGAATTTAGTCATACTTTTCATTTTCACCTCCTCGACGTATATAATTACCGGTATGTACTTAAGAGCAAATGTGGCCAAAAATCGAACATTTCCTAAATATGGTGGCAACAGCCAAAAATCGATTCGGTTCATATTCTGAAGTTAGGTAGGCCTTATGGTGAAACAAAGCACTGCATACTTCGTTTCGCTGAATATCGATTCCTTTTGGAGAAAATCGATAACAACTGAATTTCGCCAAAATGCCGCTTTTGAAGCTCAAAATTTCAGACGAATGTGGGAGCGTCGCGCCACGAATTGAAAACACTTAGACGGATAAAAAGTACCAAATCTTGAAAAACAACATCAATACATGTGTTGACGGCAATTTGAGCAATTTTTGATCATTTATTTACAGAATCTAGTTGAATTTATCCGACCTTCTTCTAACAAGATTAAAAATAGGTCAAAAGTAACCCGTTATTTAACTATGTGTTCTACAAAATGATCGACTGAAAATTTGGCTTTTGGAAGGCGAAGTGTGGTTCTTTTCGATCTCCAAAGGATTTTTTGGGGAAATGATTCAGTGCGATTTAATCAAATTTTAAAGTTGGATAAAATGAGCTGATTTGACGATGCCGTCAGTTGTTCGAAAGTGTTCACATTCAAACACAAACTCCATTGTTTCGCATTTTACATCCAATCTACATCTTATTTAA